CTTTTGCCATTGTTAGTGTTGCATTCACGTTGGCCTTTTGTGGCTGCGGGGAAGTTGGCCGCAGTACAAACTTGCGACCTCTTTGCACGCGCATGAGCTGTCTTTCGAGGGCTTTTCATTTAGCTAATCTCCACTGTAGTCGTTCAGTCGGTGCTTCTGATTATACAGGCTCTGCCATGCTTTCCTTCGTCCTCTGTTTGTTTTGCTGTGGGCCATTGCGTACACAGAAACAATTAATCATAAGGTCAACAATTTATTTCCAATTTCCAATTTTAATATCTAGATTTTCGGCAGAGCCCAAACAGTTTTAAATAGCCTTTTAAAAATGAAAAAATTGACTTTCATTAGTCTTCTTATAAATAAATTTGATGTACTATCAATAACAAATTTTTGGATTGACAGAACCAAACATAAATATTTAAATTAAAATGTTCTTTACTCTAATAAAACGAGAGAAAACAGAAAACATTCTTATTAACCATAACCAGTAAACGAATCCATAAAACAACAACTCGAGTATGCATGCATGTGGCTGTTGTGCGTTTCAAATTGCTTATTCCACATTTATAACTCTATTTTAAATGTTTTCTTCTGTGTGTTTGAGTGGGTGGTTTTATGGCTGGCTGCGTGGGTGGTTTTGGCGCGGGGATTTCGCTTTGGTTTCGGGATCGCTCACTCAGTGGCTCATCCAGCTGTGGGACTCGTAGTTCGGCTGAGCGGTGTGTACACAATTTTGTTTTATGGTTTTTTAGTTATGAAACTGAAACTGAATTACATATGTATATGTGTGTAATGGCAAGCATGTTACAATGCCAACAACAACAAAAACAAACGATTTGAGCGTCGATGTTGTTGTTGATGTGGCTCACACGGCGACCGCTGCTGCTGCTGCTGCTGCTGCTGCTATTGTTGTGGCTGCTGCTGTTGTTATACCCCTGCAGAGGGTGTTTTAATTCCATCCAAAAGTTAGATAGCAGCGAAGGTCTCATTTCCGACCATATAAAGTATATATGTTCTTGATCAGCATCACTAGGGGAGTCTAGATGTCCTTCTGTCTGTACATTTCTACACAAACTAGACCCTCAGTTTTAAAGCTATTTGGATAACACTTTCCCATAGGAACAATCTGAGGAAAAAAAGAAAATGTGACTTTATTGATTCATAACAAGCATTCATATAGTCCAAGATATAGTATAGAAGAGATGGAAAAATGCATCGCAAAACCGACCTAGCTTCATTGTTTTTAAGCATCGAAATTAAAATATAATATTTTATTTTTATAACAGCTGCAAGGGTATATATACTTCGGCTTGTTGAAGTTTGCATCCATTCGTGTTTTTATTTCTTTTTTTTTAATTTTTCGTTGGCATATTTACGCAGCATTTTTTGCATGCTTAAAAACACTGAAACTGTGTGTGTGGGTGGCAGGGGGGGTTTGGAGAGTAATGAAGCAAACTGTTGGCGGTTGGGATTGGGAGTGGCATTGAAGTGTACCATGGCAGCCATGGCAACCGACTGCCGGCACAGATAATACAAACGTTGTTTAAACTTTAAACGCAATCCCCAACCACGGCCATAAAGCGATACATGAAACGATGCCTGAGCTTGGCCATGGGTGAAATTGAACATTCCAGAGTTCCTGAGCTGCCAGCTAAAAGCGAAGAGCTCTGCATATGTAAACGGAGGCCAGGAAAGCGCATTTCCCAGCCATTTTCCCAGACCAGGCTTTTCCCACACTCCCAGGGTCTCTTTGGTCGCTTATTTGAATGCAATTGACTGAAGGCTTAGCCGACATTATGTGTGGCCTGGCTGGGCTTAGTCTGTTGGCGACATGTTGGCTTTTGGCTCAGCCATCACTCGCACAGTGGGACAAATGGACAGGCAGGCGGACAGACAGAGGGGCAGATAGACAGACAGACAGGCAGACAGACAGGCAGCAACTACAACCAGTTGCAGCAGCAGCAGCAGCAGAGGCAGCAGCAACATCACGCATACATGTATTTCCGTATCCGCTTCCTTTTCCGCTTTGTGCATTTCAGAGTAGCAAAATCAGCAGGGGTTAAGGGGGGCGCTTGGGTGTTAAGGACACTGACTACGGCAGCGACAACTGTCATGCTTTTATGGCCACATTTGCCAATTGTTTGCTGAATTGTTGACGTAAATGTCGCCCGGATGAAAAGGCCCCATACATCTGAGTCTGACTCTGAGTCCCGAGTCTCCGGTTGTGTGGATGTGGCAGACGTGAGCACGCTCCGCCTTCATCGCATTATTGCTTCTTTACGGCCCGACTGCTCCTTGCTGCCCTTCCCCATCCACTTCCCATCCCACATCCGCATCTAAAGGTAATCTCGTTTAAGGGACAGTCGGCTGACAGATTATGCCACCCAACGGAGAAAGGTAAGTCGAGGACTGCGCGTTGCCCAGTCAATCCGCACCTGTTGTAATCATTCAGTAATCTGCTGACGGCAACACGTTGCCACAAATCCAGCGCACGCAAACTCTTTGATGCGGAAATTTGGCTCGAATTTCCACGCACATTTTCACGAGGGTGTAGTTGAAAGGCCACCTAGTTGCCTAGCCAAAATACACTCAACTGGGAAAGCAAATAACTTGATTGCACGAATTGCGATTCATGAGGGATGACAGGCTGACTGACAGATGAAATGAACGACTGACGGTTTGACATCGCGAACTATAAAATTAATAAATGTCGGAATTTTGGTTTATTTATTAATGCTGACCAAGCAGCGGTTGTTATATTAAAAGGCATTAAATTTTCATAAAACATATTAAAAAGTTTAAAATTTAATTATTAATCCTTAATTAGTATCCTTTTTCACGGTTGATAAGGTGAAATTTTTTTGATTAAAATTATGTTTTATTCGTTTTTATTTTATTTATGACATTTAATTTTTGATGAGCCCTTAATTTCCAATACAACAATGGAGGTAATTATGTTATTTTATGTAAGTAGTAAAATTTAATAAACATTCCTTTCTTTTAATTAAATACGAAACATTTAAGTAGTACAAGTGGCGTTGGAATAACAAGCGCATTAATATTGCACAAGTTTGAATTAACGTTATCTGTTTTTAATTATTAATTACATGCAGAATTAACTCTTTTATGCTCATTAAATGTTTTTCAATTCACTTGCAGAGGGTTATACAAATTCGGTTAGTAGTGTGCAATATCCACTTAATTGAGTTTCAAGAATAAAACGTTAAGAAAATAAAAGTCAAAACATATTCGATTTTGATAGTACTAGTATGTTTAGACTACTTTTAAACACTGATTTGTATAGGAACGATTGCCGTTATTTTGATAATAACTGCAAGAACATTTAAAAGTCGAATTCATGAAGTCAGATTGATTACTTCTTTTCACAAATTTTAAAGTAATTGCAGCAAATGTATAACAATTGAATGTTGAACTTTGCTACTATGATTTTTAGAGCCTGCAAAAAATAATAGTTTCAGCTTCCGTTTTCTTTTTCCGCCCGGCAAACATTGTAATCTTTTGTGGAACCAATAAGAGAGGGGGAGGGTGGTTGGTGGTGGGTGCTCGAGTGGGCGGTGGTGCAGCTGAACAAGCCTTCAAATTCCGTTTATTGCTTGAACAAACCTTGTGCAGATGGCCCCAAGAGTTGGTAATGGCAGCCTGCCGTTGCAGTAACACCATTAAAGACGGATGCCGGTGGAGGGTTGGGAGCGAAAAGGGTTTTCGTTGGTGCTTCGCAGCGGCATGCAATTCTTCTCATCATGATGTACCTTCCACTTGGCCGCCGCTGGCAGCCAAAATACCACCACCCACCACCACCCACTGCCGACCACCCAGTGCCTCCCCCCTGCGCTGTTGGTTTTAATTCAATTTAACAATCTTTTTTTTTTTCGCTCGTTTTGTTGTTTTTTCGCTCTCCTTTGCAGTTTTTCGCCCAGTTTTCCTCTGCTGCGCCGCTGCATTGTTGCTGACAGCGGAAGTTCTGCCGGCGGAGACGTCGACCGAGGCAGCGGCAGCGACAGAGGCAGCGACGTCAGCCATTAGTGCAAATGAAATTGCATTTTGTGCCCCAAACACTCAAAGAAATTTAATCAAAGGCGCTGCGATGCGCTTGGCATATTTTGCTATATGTGCGCATGCATACCTCTTTACATGTGGCTTCATCGAGCGCATGCATATCTGGTTGCAAGTTTCCTTTATTACCACTAAATCGACTGCAATGCTTCATTTCCTATGACTCAAATCTGGCCAAAATAATTGCCGATAATGTTTTCCAGTACTTCATAAATGTGCACTGAATGGAACGACCTTTCAGCTTTGCCTTCACTCGTCTTGGAAACCTGGTTAGGTAGCAATCAAATGATATCGGAAAATATTGTACCCCCGCTGGCCCACAAAATAATATTTCTGCTCCCGATTCTGATTCTGATTCTGATGATGGAGAGTTTGAGTGGAGTAATTGAAACGTATTCATCATCATTTGCAAGCATTTTGGCCATTAGGAGCAGCTTACGGCTAAGGGAATGGGAATTGTGGGAGTGGCGTGGCAATCTATTCAAATGGATGATGAATAACATGCATTAAATAATGCCTATTTTAGCGTATGTGTATGTAGCATTATAACTCCGACATCCGCTGCTCCAGATCCTTGTCACTGGAAACTGTCCAGGGATTTGCCAAAAGGTACAAATATTAATTTCGATTAAATGCAAATCGCATCTGATGCAAGGGAATTGAGTCTGTCGTAACTCAACCATGCGAAATCCCAACACTTTGGACTTGACAAGTTCATCACACAATTGTGTTTCAATTGCCAGCTTGGAACTTTGACATAACATGGCTGATGGACTTTTGGAACATGAACCAAATCGTTTCAAGCCGATCGAATTAATACTTACCAGGTATGTATTATTTACAGTGTTTGTAACGCTTCAACCACTGACTGGCTGATCCGATACTGGTCCCGCCTTTCACTTGACAATAATTAAGGACGCACTTCCTGCTGGTCCACAAATTGAGTGATTTATTGCCCCACCTCCGGGGGAGAGCCTATCTATCAGCCTTATCAACTACAAGTGCACAAAGTGGTGTTTGAGTGGTTTCATCGGGGTGCAATAATGCGCTGGAGTGGAGTGGGATGCGTTTGGGAGTGGAGTGAGGTGTGCTTGGAAGTGGAGTAGGATGTGTGTGGACTGTGTGAGGTTTAACACAAAGTGGGTTACAACTACGGCTATGCAACTACCAATATGTCTAGTAATACAATTCAAATTTAAGCTGGAACGACGACGATTTAAGATTGTAATGTTAGGTCCAGGCCACACGTTTGCGGGCGAACTTCGGAGGAGCAGCTGTCTGTGAGGTGACCACATTAAGGGAGCGAGATTTGTTGACACGTTGCAAGTCGTCTTCTCCACGAGCCGGAGGCAAATCCTGCCACACGTCCAGGTTGAGATTAGAGAAGGAGTCGCTGACCTTGGGCGGGAGCTCGTCATCCGCCGGGGCAGAGATGCCCGAAACAGAAGCCTCTGATGCCACCTCTCTAAGATTGGTTACCGATGGTACAGTCATTTCAGCCTGCTCCTGGCTGAGCTGTTCCAGCTGCTTGTTGGCCTGCTCAATCCCGGTCAGATGCTGGCTCCTCAGCTCCACCAAAGCCTGCTGCTGGCTGACGTTCTCCTGCAGCAAGCCGCCGAGGCAATCCTTCTCCTGGTCGATTAGCTTGCTCAGCTCGCCGTATCGCTGAAGGTGCTGTTCCCGCCAGTTCTCCTCGCAGCGCTTCAGATTGTACTTGGCCTCCGACTCGTACATGGTCTCGATCTGGGCGCAGGCATGTTCCTCATTCTCCAGCTGCGAGCGGTACTTATCCAGCAGTGTCTTCAGCTCCTCCGCCTTGACCACGTACTTGGCCATGCGCTGCAGCATGTTGACGCACAGAGAAATCTGCTTGCGACTAGCCTCACTGCGCTGGCGGATGAACACCTTGATCTTCTTGAGGTTGAAGGCATGTCCGGAGTCGACTCGCTTGAGCACGAGTGCACTGCTCTCCTCGAGAAGCTCCCGCTCCTTATCGAGTTCCCCTAGGAAGAGCTGGAAGTGCTGCTCCTCCTCCTTCAGCTTGTCCGCCTCTTGCTGCCGCAGCCTCAACTCCGACATGTGGGATTCCTGCAGTGCACGCAGCTCGCGCAGCTCCTGCTCCCGGATCTGCTGACGCTCCTTTTGCGCCTGTTCCGTGCGACTGATCTCCTGCTGGAGGAGCAGCTGCCTCTCGGCGGCCAGGGCCTGTTGCTCCTCGCGCTGCTGCTGATTCTCTATCTGGCGGTCCAGCCAGTTGAGCTTGGCCAACACCTCGTTGTCCGATTTGGATTGGTAGAGCAGCTTCTCGTCGTCGACGCCATGACGCCAGCGACCATACAGCTTGGCCTCCATTTCGAGTTTGCGGCGCAATTGCTCCTGCTCCTTGAGCGATTGGTTGACCCGTCCCAGCATCTGGAGGTCACCACCGCCGGGTTCTCGCGGCCGGCGACGGCGCTCCATTTCGCTGTCGTAGGCCTCGCTCTCGGAGGTCAGAAGCTGGCGAAGCCTCGCCTGTCGTTCGCTGAGGACCACCTGCTTCTCCTGCTGGACGCGGCGGGATTGAAGCTGCTGGTCGGCCTTCTCGTAGTACTCCTTGTTGGTCCAGTTCTCGAAGCGCGAGGTCACCTTGCCCCAGTGGCTGTAGTAGCTGTTCACAGCCTGTGTGGCCTGCACCCGGTTGTTCTCCTGCTCCATGCGTTGCGCATACGCCGCGTGCTGCTGGTTAAGGCGTCCCGACATCCCTGGTCCTTGGGTCCTCCTCCTTCCTCCTGCGAAAACAGACACAAAAAAAAAGGAGACGAAGGGATGTAGAGGGGTGTGAGTCTGAGTGGAGGCGCCAGTTGGCTGACAAGTTCATAAACTTTTAAATTGGGGCCAAGGCAAGCCAAGGAAAATGGAACAAAAGCAGGGTGTGGGAACTTCCATTTGCAATATCTCTTCCGCAAGGGAAGAATCTCAGCTGGACTTCATGGGGTGGCTTCATTCAATTAGCTGGAGGAGATTCAACTCTGAACTTACCTCTGTTCAGCAGATATATGCCAAGCCGGAGATACAGAGATCTGAGTGCTGAAAGTTTACTGTACGAGTGGCATTTCCTTTTTCTGTTGACTGTCTTTTGTGTACTGCCTACTCTGACCATTGAATTTTGAAAACTTGGGCAAGCATCACCGAACGAATTTCATTCTTTGGCAAGTCAAAGGCCCGAAACCTAGTTCTCATCCTGCTTTTAGGAAATGCATGGCTGCCAACCGGACAAGCGTTATGGTTTGCCCGGCTCTCCATTTTTGGTTATTTTTTGCTCCCCTCCACAAAACTGCAGCCATCACCGCAGCTGTCACTAACTGCCAAAGCGGCAGCAACAGCAGCAGCAGCCACTGGAGCAGCCAAAACGCAGAAATATGGCAAAAATCTGTCGGAGGCGGACCCTGTCCACACTCCCAACTAGCCATCGCTACGTTGCCATGACCCTGCCCCCGGAACATTTCCAGGCCAGAACCAGCCGCCAATCCATCAAAGGGGCGCCCCAGCAATCTGTCAGGGGGGCCGGCATGCAAATGACCACACTCGCAAAAAAATACACTTGGTTAAATCCCAACGGTATAGAAAGGGATAAATAACAATTTAAAAATTGATGACTCTTTGCCCACAATGATTCCAATTTGAGATTAGCCAAGCATAAAAATCCCATGCTAAATTAACAATGTTATCTGAGGAATTTCTTGTGTTCATTGGTTTATAATCATCATAAATGTTATGTTGTAAATTAGTGTAAATACGCTTGATTAAATTAAAGTTCTGCCGGAGAAATAAGTGTTAGTTTCGTGATAAAACTACTGTCTTTTATCACGAAACTAACATGTGAGTCATAAATAAAAGAAACATCATAGAGCTTAAATCGTCTTAAAACATTATCAAGGCATACATCATATTTTTTTCAAAACACTAGCTTTTAATATTTTTAAGTGCCGAATTTCATGGCAGGAAGGGCGGGAGTTACTGAGCTAATTTCCCAAAGATTTATGGGCAGCACGAAGCGCATTGATATATGCCAAATTGTTTACAAATTGATTGCATTATTAATAATGCCCACAGAGCCCGATCAAAGCCTCTTTCGTTCTCATTCCGAATTCAATGGAAAATGTCAGCGAGCAAGGTGCGTGTTGAGGGGGCGGGGGGTGTGGGAGGGGGTTGTGGGTGCGCGTAAAATGTAAAATATTCCAACAAAGTACTCCTTATGTCATATGACAGACGACAAACTTTGGCAATAAATCAAACAACAGGCGACGAAGCTGTTTGTGGGCGGAATGCTACAGATGGGCGGGATCGGTTTGGCTTTAGCCTCCTTTTGTGGCATATCTAAGTGGGCGGCTGTGGGGGCGTGGAGGGCGTGGCGGGCGAGGCACACGTGGAATACAGCAGCAGTGAAATGCCAAGATGCCACCGCTATATAGACTTAATACACTTTCGGCACACACAAATTCACTTCCTTAATTGAAATTTTAATTTGAATACTTTGGCAAAGTTTTGGCCGACAGCCAGCAAGAGAGTGAGACAGCTCAGGCAGCAATAACAAACAGCCAAAAAGTCGCCGAAATCCATACTCCCCTTCACCCAATTTCCCTCCCCGTTTGGAAGCCCCCCCACCCATCCCATCCTTTTCCGCAGGCAATCTCGCACAGGCTCAGCGCGTTTTCAATTTACGCGCCTCGCGAGTCGTTTGTCATTTTATGCGCCCTAATATATGGCATGTGCGTGCCGCTACAAGGATACCAGTACCCTGTGCCTGCTCTTCCCCTGCCTGGCATCCCGCATGCCCCCAATTTCAGGGGAATCTCCCTGCCAACCAGCAAGGCGTAACTAATCAGTACAGACAATGATATGGCGACATCTGATGAATTGTTCGCCAGCCGAATATTTCAATTGGTGGTGCTGTTATATCTAAATAAATGCACGGAGGAAAAAAAAGAAGCAGGCAAACTAAAAAGTTTAACAACTGTAATATTAGTTGATTATAAACATTTCAAACAGTCCGTTACTCCATACAGACAACATTTTGCAAAATATATCTTATAATTCATAGCTAAAAGTAGTTTCTTTCCCAAATTTACTCCTTTGAAAATTATTCAACATCAAGCTAAATACATGAAGAATGTATACAAAAATGTATACAAAATACAGCAATAAACTTTAAATTTATAATTACTGTTATTGTAAATATTATTATTGACTGTTCTCTTGTATATAAATAACATAGAATATGTTCAACTTACTAAAAATACAATTAATTTGCTACCAAATTAAACAGTATTGTTAATATAAGTATGCATTTTGACACAGAGGAATTCAGTTGAATGAATTTAACAATTACTGCAGATTATAAAACAATAGTCGGTTTTTTCAATGTGCGATTAACCAATTTTAAATTAAAAACCCCCCACTATCTACTATGGTACTTGTCTTTCATCAGGCATTGAAAAACCAGCCCTTGGTTTCATATCAATAAATTACCACTTCACATTATTGCCTGATACTCACTTGACTTGGGACCAATTCATAACGATTTCCGATAGTGTGAAATATGGAAAACTGATATGGCCGAACCATAGTATCCAACTGAAATTATTCCATTTTGTTTGCTGTGTAGATAGACTCTTGCATGGCTTACCCATCAAAGAGTTTTCATTGAGGCCCCGGGGAATCCCCAGCGAGTGCAATTACTTTTGTTAATTGTAATACACACAGCCGCAGAGACACCCGTTTGTTTGTCTAATGTGCGAGAGTGTAAAGCTTCTGGCCCGATAATGTTTACCTCGGTGAATACCCCGGGCTGAAGGAGGGGGGGAGGTGAATGAAAGAAGGCCTGTGATTTTGCGTGTGATTTTTGCCCCCTCAGCATTTTTCATCGCGAGAGCGTGCCAAGGCGTAGTTAGTGAGCGGCACTTAATACCCTGATAAGATGTGCGATTAGCGGGTAGCCCGTCGAATGGTAAATTATGAACACAATGGTCAGCATTATTAGCCAACCAAAGTCGAACGGGCAATGCTCTAACCGGGCGACTTGATTCCTGAAATGCTCGGGGATCCACAAAGATAATAAAAACCACTCCAGGAACTCACTTTACTTGTTTTTTATCACATTTTACTTGCTTAATAATCTGTCATACAAAACAAATTTGAATAACAATAATTTGCTCAAATATGTTTACAAAAATATAAAAATAAAAACGTTTGAAAAATTTTATTAAACGCTATATGACACGAAAAGGTAGCTCCAAAGGAAAAGGAAATGAACTTGAAGATAATAGATAAATGAAATTTTCCTTACTTATCTATTTATTTAAGTTCAATCATCATTTTTCTTAACATTTATCTTACAGCTACTTTTAAAAATACAAACAAATTTGAATGAAAAATCATCCGACATTTTATAAACAATTTTTTTCTGTTTGGTTATCTGAATCACACACCCGTGATCGTAAATATATCTTTAATTTGTGTTATATCCATGTGTGGGGCGTGAACATTACGTTTACTCAAAACAATGGGATAAAACAAATTTTTTGCACTTAAAAATAAAAAAAAAACTGAAAGTTAAAAGCTGGTACATATTCTTTTGTTTTACCCAAGTGGTCTGTGCGTCCATTGGAAGTTCTAAGTGGCGGACCTCTCACAACCACCGAAAAAAGGAAGAGCAACTCGAGATTACAAGACCTAATCAAAGGCACCTGTTGCCAGCAGACCGAATTACTTGAGTTCTGTTCGATGGGTTCGGACTTCAGTTCAGTTAGCTTCAAAGACATTGGCACGCAACATGGGCGACAAAGCGTCTGGATCCGTCTGCAGTTCCTCCACAAAACCCCCAGAAATCCTCACGGATTCGGAGCATTTTGAGCAACAACAGCTGGCCACAAGTTGTGGTAAGTACCGCCACAACTATTTTGCTGCTAAAACAATTCAACAATTTCCAAGAGCGTTTGAGAAATTTCCCCTTTTTGAAGTGTAATAAATATTGAGTTCTAGGGCAGGGGATGTGGTCTGCGTGTTTACCTTGGCGCAAGTATAAACAACAAATAATATAAAGCAGCAGAGGTTGAGAAAATGAGTCCGGTGATTTGGACTTCTTTTGGCCGAGGCGCCAGAACGCATCTGGCGGTGCTCCCCCTAAATTTTCGAATCGAAAAAACCTGTGTGCACACTCTCCCGCGGATACAAAAAAAAAAAACAAATTTAGATTAAGATCGAGATGAAGATGAAATGTGTTTGTTCGCCATAAATCGACGACGGAAAATAAAATGCTGTTAATTTGTCTATCCATCCGATCTCGGCACTCCGACTAAAGCAATTTAATACCAGACACATTTGCAGCGGGCTTCCCCCAAAACAAAGGGGCATCCCCGACCAAAAAAAAAATTAAATCACACGAACACAAATTAAAAAGAGTATGTCCGGTGGCGGTGGTCAAAGAAAGCAAATGGCACAGAGAACGCCGAGTGCCGGAGATGCTGTCACAGTTAAAGTCACGGTTTTGAATATAGAAAATACAAAACCTCGATTATATTATAAAAATATTAACATTTTAAAAGATTAGATTTGTTTATTTAATATTCATGATAACAGATATTATGAATAAGACTCTTTAAGATGACTTCCACAGTAAAAGATTATTCAGAAAAAGGACATTTTGATAATTTTAAATAAAATAAATTACAGAAGGTTGTTTTATAACTTATTTAACGCTTTGGAAAAATATATATTAACCATAACACATTTTTTATAAATACTAAATATTAACACAAACGGTTTTAAGTCTAAAATTAGAAAGATAGATTAGTTTTAATATTCCAAAATGGTATGTTAATTATGTTGTCGCCAAAATATCTAAAATGCTGTTAATGGCACTTAAACTTTTGAGCCTGAACTATAGATATGGCCAGCTGCAAGCTCAAGCTATTGAATCGGGTCATTAATTCATCAAATCAGAAGATAGAAAGAAGAGTAAAAACCCAGCAGTGTCTTAAAAAATTGAATATAACCAATTTTGAAAGAGATGGTAAAAGACAATGGATGAGTCATAGATTGGGAGCGATATTTTTCCCGAGAAACTTTGACAGAGTGACATTAAATAATCGCTATAGACAGATTCAAAATATCTTAACCTCAGGCATTGTTAAATGCTAAAAACAGTCTGCAGCTGGGTAATCGCGGACTTACCCGCTAACAATTGTTTACACAACTATAGTTTGAAGAGATTGTCAACGAAGTTCCCCTCGTCAAATTTATGGGTTCTATAGAGAGCCCTTATCAGCGACCAACCTTCAAGACTGACCGATATTGAACTGCTTGAATATATGGAGTGCCACCCCAATTCCAATGATCAGCGATCCGCATCGCGGTTTTCTATTTGTCATAAACCAAAACTGTCATAGTTGTTAATCACTACAGCCCTCGTCGGAAGTTGTGATTGCGAGGCGTGAATTTTGCCCTACAGCCTAGGCAACGTTTTCAATGATTAACCCTAATTGCATATCAGAGTGATAGGTTAAAGTATACTCATTTTGTGCACGAAGAGAAAATTGCCAATTTAAAATAATTATCTATATATGAATGCGGAAAGGTGGAATTTTCAAAAATGTGTTTGATTTTAGTATTTTGAATTCGAAAAACCAGTTTAAGAAACGAGACTCCCATAATTATTAATACAGTTTTAACGGAAAACCTTTGAACTTAAAGAAATAAATATTCTATAGGGTTTGGCAAATGCAATTTTTCTCTCCATGTACCCATATCTATATCAATATTTATATGAATGCCGATTCACGCTGACACGTGTGATGGCCTCGTAACAGCAGTGCTCAAAAAAGAACCCTTCGAATGGGAAAAAGTACCGCCGATCGGAAGAGGTGAAATGCGGTTGAATGGGGCCAATGAATTCGCAAAGGCATGGGTAATTCACCGCCAGCCGATCGCTAGATCGCCGTATTAAATTTCCCTAAAGACCACAGCCTGACCTTAGCGCAATTGTGCGGCTGATAACAACTTTATCAAATTCAGCAACGCCGACTGAAGCAGCGGCGGTAGCCAAGGCAGCGACGCCAACTGAGGCAGCGGCGGTACTCAAAGCAGCGACGTTGACTGAGGCAGCGGCAGCAAACCAAAAAAGCTTACTCCGAGAGCGGTACCGGTCGCTAATTCAAAATCAAAGAGCGAGTGGCGAGCGGTGAGAGCGATCGGGCCATAAGTTCCATGCGATTAACCATTTGTTTAGCATTGCTCCTACGGCAGCAGCAGCAACAGCAACGCCAGCAGCAATAGCAACGCCAGCAGCGACAGCAACGCCAGCAGCGGCGGTGCGAATTCGGTGTGAATTTTTCTACAAAACTCAGGCCCGCCCTTATGCTGGCCAACATTCGCGATTGTGATACGGAGCATAAGGCCGCTATGTGAGCGCTGTTAAACCAAAGTCTGACCTTCACACACTGTCGAAATTTTGCACAACTCTTGCCACAACAACCGGTAGCAGCCGACAAACAAACACATCACGAAACAAACAACCAAACAAACAAGCAACAAGAATAATACAACAATCAAGTAACAGCGAGCAGCAATCGACACAAAAGTTCCTAAATCAAAGTCTCATTTTGTACGCGCACACAAGTTCCTAAGTAGCAAAAAGCCAGCAAAACAAGCGCAACATCAACAGAACAGCAGCAACAGCAACAGCAACATCACAGCAGCAACTTCAGCAAAAAACAGCAACATGACAGCACTGGGATTAGTTCTGCTATCAATGATGGGTAAGTGGCGAGTGTTAGAGAGGCCTTCTTATCGACAAGCCCCTGGGAATGTGCCTCTGATAGATAGCACACGCCTTATCGCGGTTTTTAATTTCTGCGCGCCCATCACCTGCAATCAGCGTCAGCTGAGCACTGATAGCCTGACACTAATATATGCATCGAGCTCTATATAATATATGCACAATTTGCAAGCTGTCAGATATGTGATTTTTTGTTTCAATTAATTACTGACATTTAACAAAATTGTCATTTACGACCTGACAGCCAGCGAGAGAGTGAAATGGTTTTTGATTTTAATATTCATAATTATACTCACACCCTAACCGCGGCGAAGAGTCGCTTATAAAGTTCTCCGGTTTAAAAAGCAAAAGAGATAAGGAAACAGCTTTCTCATTCTCAACTGAAAATATCAATGAAACTTAATATCACATGAGGGGTCATTTTGTTATTGAATAAAAAGCTCAAGTAAAACTTAATTTGCATAAACATTTTGGTAATTTGAAATTAAACAAATTTAAAATATTCCTATCGTTCATGTGAAAGAAAAACAACCACGTAACATGTTAATTTTTGAAGGTAAATGCAGATATTTGTTTGTGGCACAGAATAATATAATAATAACAACTTAAATCCACACAAGCCCATTCACAATCCAATATTAAAATATTGCCAATTTCATTATCGACTCTTGAGAATAACTTGTGTAACAATTAAATTTATAAATCAGTAAAAACAGATAATTAATCACAACTAAAGCCACAATTCGCCGGCCGGGGCAATTAACTTTAATTGGTTAACAGTATATTTTTCTGATGATTCAAACTTGGTTTTGAACACATGTAAATAAAACATCGTGTGGTTAAAAACATTGAAAATGAAGTGACATCGATATAAAAATAGTTTAGTAAAATAAAAGTCAAATAATTAAGCAAAGGGAATTTGACCATCGGTTTTTTGACCTAGAACGTTCGCTTTCTTTTTTAGTTTTATTGCTTTATAGCTCATTTCTGCTGATTTTATTGTGTTTTTTTTCCGTTTGTTTGCTCCGGGTACTTTTTTGTTTTCCCGTTGTACGGGTATTGGACATTTTTTTGCCAGTTGCTTTTTAATTTTTGTTGTAATCGAGCGTGACTTAATTTCGCACATTCCCCTGAAACAATGTATTGCTGTGCGGATATTTGTTTAATGGCAGACTGACTGGCTCTTCGCCATCGTCAACATAATAATATTGAAATGTCTCTATTATGTGCTTTGCCTGATTAAAAACAAACAATTACCTAAGGGACCACTCCACCGCTCGGTGTATGTGTGTATTTTTGCCACTCTAATTATTCGCTGGTAATTTAAATACTTCAATTATGCGAGAATTTAATCAGCAGAGCAGCGGGCCCCGTAAAACGGCAGTGGGATTAATCGAAAATTATCAAAGAACTTTGCTCCTCCTCCTGCGAAATTGCTTTTTGTAACGAAGTGTGCGGAGTGCAGGTGAAAGCTAAAGTGAGGCGATAGTTTCGCCAATGAAGGGTGTGAATTTAGGGGTTTGTGCGCGAACGAGTGCCACAAAGTTTGCAACATTGATTAGGCCGACGGGTTTTAATGTTTACTTTATTAGGCCGCGCAATTAGGAGAACAATTAGCGGAGCGGGGTGATTTTGAGCTCTCCGTACTCGGCTGTAAATATAAATGTAATTAACATGTTACACACACTAAAAACTAAAACAGCATAAATTAAACAGCCACCGATTTGGCAGTTCCCTCACATTACACCACCTCCTGCTCCTGCTCCTTTCCTGCTCTGTTTATTATTCAAGCACGTGCCGCCGATGAAGTCCAGGATCCTGGATTCCGTATAGGTGCCGAACTGCGGGCGCGACATCAAAAACAAATGGGAACAAAGTAATGGCACTTGATATTTGACATACAGAGTTTTATAAAATCATTACAAAAACACTATTTCCTTTAAATTAATTTTTTATTTAAACTATATTTTAACACTTAAACTCACTAACAGTTTCGGCTATTTTTGGGTGTTAAAAACCCGTCAACCATACAACGGCTTCTTTGAATATTAAATATTTAAACCAAATATTTCTACTTTTTTTCTGTTCATAAACTTTATGAGATATTTTTAAAACATGGCTTGGCAAAGCAATGTATTTTCTGAATAATGTGAAATATACGATGTAACAAATTTGTAAGTTCCCTTCAGTAAAATACCAATTTGAATTATCCTTATGTTTGAAGTGGCAGTGCTATTTTGTTGACCCCGTCTGTTCGCCCACACAACTTTCGCTCTTCGTAAATTTTAATTAGAAACTGCTGCCATTAACTTAGTCAAGTGCTGCGTCTCTTGTTTCCGCCGCCCGTTTTTCCGGCTTTTCCATTCGCCCACTTCCCCGTCTAAGTTTCCGTATGCATATAAATGCTGGGGGCGTACTGCCGCTGTAGAAGTGGCACGAAGTTTTGGCAGGCGACGGCAAACAAACCAAGGCGTTGACTGCAGGCCCCGAAAATTGCCCACCCATCATTGGCTTTAATGTTTGCCAACTCCAAAGACATGCATAAAGCAAAATTTGAATGAAATAGTTTTCGGATTGGAGTCTGAATTTGCATTTATGACTCACGGAGGGGAACCAGGGCCAAACGGAACTAAGCTCGGCCTTTTCTCCGGCCCGCAGTGTCAACGGCCAAGCGCTCACGCCAATGATAGATGATACCCGACCCGTAGCACCTGTTGCGACTCGGCTTCCTCTGCCATTTGGCTTTTAAGCATTTCGCATTGAGCGCTTTAAGCTGAGTCATGATGACATAGTGCAAGCCATAACGATTTGAGAATGCCCTACTGAAATAGATACATTTATCTGAAGATAATCTGCAAGTGGAAATCCATAATGTTTTCCCTGTAAACACAGCCTACATTTTTCTGTGGCCAATGTAAATATTTACTTTTACTACCAAAGGCATTGAAAAATATTGCGCAAAAAATAAAAACAGTATAAAATGTTTGGCCGACGTTTGGTGCAAATATTTATTTTTAAAAAGTAAAAATATTGGCTCAGTGAGAAAAAAAACCGCTAAAGTATTCCATGGTAAAATTATATTTTATAATCGAGATAAACATTTCTTAACGATTTTGGAAATGTACATTGTATATGTACATTTTATATATATGAAGCATAATCAGTTCAGAATAACTTTGTTTTCTTAAGGGTTTACACATTTAACAACTAATACCCCTCGTTTGCACCCTGGAATCTCGTATTCATATGTGGAAATGAAATCAAATAAAAATCACCTATCACATCAGCAGTTTAGCATATTTGATTCCCGCTCAGCGGCGTCTGATGACGATCGCTATTGCCAATCGGAGCCGATCGGCGACTTGTTTTCAGCTCGTAACGGGGATTTTCAGTGGAATCGGGGAGTCGCAGAGTCGGTGAGCGTCAGTGCAAAATCGTGGGTCGTCGGAACCGCAGCCAGCGGCGCAGAAATCCGCAGACAGCAGCGCCGCGTGGGATATCCGACTATCATTTATCAATGGAATGTGAGCGATGTACGGTAGCAGTACCACAGACCACACGCTACCAATTACACACGCCCCCTTTTCAATTAAGACCGACAAATGTTGACTGTCTTGGAAGTGGAAGTATTTTTGTGCCAGAAATAAACGCATGCCGAAAGTTAAAATTGAACTTGTTTACGCCACGTTAAAGGAATTCACAAAAATAAATGTAAACAAAAGTTCACACTCAAAGCAGAATTTAAAAAGCAAATTTTCTATTTGGGATGTACCGGACCAATTATCGAAAATAAAGTTTCTCTGTGACCAAAATAAATATGACTATAGAAGCATAATAATTTATATGAAACTTTAAAGCTATTCTTTAATTCTTTAACTACATTTAAGGTAGTGCTTTATAATACAAAGCAAAAACCAAATTAGGAAGATAGTGTGATTTTTTAAAATTCATTATTATCCACAATGATTCAAATTTGATTAAATACCAGAGGTCTTAAAAGTTTAACATTTATAACTAATTAACAAGCCAACTAACCCAATCTCTTTATCTTTGTTTTCAGGCTATAGCCAGCACATGCATCCGGCTAATTTGGGCGATGGAGTGGACACCGCTCGACTTCTGTCCCGCTCAGACTGGGGCGCCCGCCTGCCCAAATCCGTGGAGCACTTCGAGGGTCCCGCTCCATACGTGATCATCCACCACTCGTATATGCCGGCCGCGTGCTTTAACACTCCGGATTGCATGAAGAGCATGCGCGACATGCAGGACTTCCACCAGCTGAAGCGTGGATGGAACGACATCGGCTATAGCTTTGGAATCGGAGGCGATGGCATGATCTACACCGGAAGGGGATTCAACGTTATCGGAGCTCATGCACCCAAGTACAATGACAAGAGCGTGGGCATCGTGCTGATCGGAGATTGGAGAAGTGAGTACACTGAAGTTGAAAGTTTAGCAAGAAGCTTGAAGTAAACCGAAATTTCAATAAAGAAAATAATGTGTTAGAGCTCGCCATCTCATCCTCTTAACTCTTAATGACTCTGAAAATCTAAATTCTTTAATTTTAAAGTCTATAAAAGGGAAAATAATACCTTAACCAGTTAAACAACATTTGACATTAAGCACAAGATGAATTTAATTTGAAGTGATTAAAGGAGCCACATTAAGAATATCGGGAATATTCAAATTAGCATCCTGTTTCTATCCTTAACCCTTTATTAACATCCTATTTCTCCTTCCCTTAATTTTAGCTGAACTGCCGCCCAAGCAGATGCTGGACGCGGCCAAAAACCTGATCGCCTTCGGGGTGTTCAAGGGCTACATTGACCCCGCGTACAAGCTGCTGGGGCACAAACAGGTGCGTGACACCGAGTGCCCTGGAGGCAGGCTGTTCGCGGAGATCTCCGGCTGGCCGCACTTCACCCAACTAAACGCCACAGAGGGCAGCACTCCTGCCCCGGTTGAACCGCACGCACATCCCCAGGCGGTGCCCCAATCGACACCCCAAACCCCGCTGCCAGCTGCTCCCAAGGTTTAGTTAGGCCCTGGGACCCTCATACCCAGCAAAGCAGTTTAAGAGAAGCCACAACGAGCTCGGCTCCCCGCACAACGCCAAGGAGTTCATTCAGTATTCATTAGATGTCTCTTCGAACATTTCACAAATAAAGCAATTTCTAGATGATAACACTTAAACATAGCACCCACAGTTGCTCTTTGTATCTACACACTCGCCAACCGCCCCACATTCGCACTTGTCAAATCAAATAGCAATTAATTTGTGTCAAATTCGATTTCGATGGCACAAGTTTTTGGTCGACATCGTGTGCTAGGAATGTCGACGACCCCGCCAATCGTCGCTTTTTCCAACCATTTGACATTGGCTCACCATGGGGGTCGACGGAGCGGTGGGGTTGGCTTTCATAAGCCCCAATCCTCACAAGCGGAAAAACGGTTTTGGGACCAACAGATGAATTAATAAAGCCTCGGGGGACGTAGCATATTGAAATTTCAAACCAGAACGCAATCGACTTTAAGCCGATTTTTAAAGCCCCCAAACATATGATTTTTTTTTTTAGAAAAAGACACCAATTTTATGATGTGGATAAATATATAATTAAAATTTGCAAAAAGCTGCGTCCTCTATCGAAAATGTCAATTTGTTGCGAGAGAGAAATGTTTTTGTTTTTATGACCGTGGGAGTATTGGCTGTTTAATTTGGCATACTTTTTGGCTGATACTGACAATGCCAAAAAATATTTCTTCCGTGCTTTCAGGCAGAGCTTTAAAAAAAAATTTAAAACATGCTTTTAATAACGTATATTGCAATTAAATAAAAATTGTGGGTGTGAAAGTCACTTTAAATACAATTTTTTCTTTGATGGAGTTATTTGATTGAGTTTGCTGAGATATAAAATACTTTTTACACAAAATATAACATGTATGCATTTTAATGAATATATCTTATTTGTGTGTTGTGTCAGAAAGAAAGTCTTTTAAGAGATAGTAAATTCAGATATGCAATAACTTTAGGAATATACATATCCCATTATCTTATCCCTTAACCACCAATATTTAACACCAATGAGTAACCACTCAATAAGCACCCCCAATTGGCCTATCCCTAGTCCAATCGATAAGCGATCAGTTGGACTAAAAATATAGCCACGCACTGACCGACCGATCGATCGATCGATCGATTGCACCGCTCCCCAGAAATGTCAACCACAATTGAGTGAATCGGGGGAGCAACCACTTAGTAGACAATGTAAATATTGAAAGCGAATCGGAGAGAAGTAACGCATTGGGACAGGACAGACCATCATACAGAAGCACTAATGGGTTTGGACTTTCTAGACGAGTGGTTTTTATCACAGGGTAAGACGTCCCACCACCCACTCCCCCTGAAATTAGCTGCGACGCCCACGCCGCCCGAGAAACTTGCGTAATTGAAGACCATTAAATGTGGGGAGTCTGATAAGATCCGCCTAATGTGCGGATAACGAGGGGGCCTAACAAGGAGGGGAAAGCGGGTATCTGTATCCTTGAAGTGGGCCACATAGCTGGTTATTAATAATTCCATTGAACTGCACCTGCCATAAGGTCAATCGGATCCGCTATATCTCACCCATCCCCCGTGCCGAAATCGAAAAAGATGCTAAAAATATTCCTCTGTCGGTCAACAAAATTTTCATTTCACTTCATTTCGCTCTCCCCCTCCCAAAAAAAAAGAGATAATGAGCGGAATCCCAAGAGAGAGATATTCGAAGAGCGAGTGTGAAAATTTGAAAAATTTTTAGGCATCGCCGTGCCGTTGGAAAATGTATGAATTCAGTTTTTGAAACGCCGTCATAGGCGCTGTTGCCTCCGCTGCTGAAAATTCACTCTGTGTGTCAGTGACCGTGTCGGTGTGTGTGTTTGTGTGGTGTTTGCGGTTGTGGTAGTGTGCGGGTGTCTGACCCAACCAGCACACATACAAATAGTACAAATATATCTAGTATACAATATATAGTAAACCGACGCGAACGTGCAACGCAAACTGCAGCGAGCGAATGAACCAATTAATACACATAATAAAAGTCCGAAAAATCCGTGAAATATCCAAAAATATAGCATCGCCACATATTCGTGTACATTTGGGCGGCGAAATGCGCAGAACTTGCGAAAGCGCTTTGCTCAGCTCTTGTCACTGGCCAATCGATCCAATAAATCTCTCTGGAGGGGCGTTATGAATGGCCTGTTCCCAAAATATCCCGGGCGATATTTTTAAACACTTTTGTTGACAGGCAATCTTAGGATGAAATATGGCCAAGCATTAGCTGTTAGTAGCCATTTTAAACACGATTCTGCACAACTTTCGACTCAAATTAGCCAGTCTCGTTAACAATTTTAATTGAAATTGTATTTTTTCCTTCTCCATTTTGCTCTGTTCTGGCATCTTCTGCAATATTTGGAATACAGTCTTACTTCCCTACACCAACATTTAGAGAAAGCCAAGGACCTTTGAAATTCTTTGGTATTTTTCTTATTTTTGCGGGTTCTAAGAGACACATGGCGTTTCCAAACTAAATGAACACCAGCAATTAAAAGACAAATTTCTCTTTAAATCTTTAACACTACCCTTAAGATACTGTTAAGGTATCATATTATAATTCATTATTTAATCTGTAGTTGTCCTGTTTTATTCATATATAAATATCAATTCTACTATGAGTAAAATCTGCTTAGAATGCCTTTAAAACCACATTTTTAAAAAAATTAGTTTAATATTGTTGTGGAAATGGTCGATTTCAATCATGGGATACTCGCGCTATAGAAGTCAGACTGTATTTCTAAGTAAAATTTGTATTTGCATGTCATGTTTAATTAACGCCTCCATGCAGGAAAGGCCGAGAAAGTGTTCGTCGCTCTGGCCAAAAAATTTGCAATCGTCCCAAACGAGGGGAATTGAAATGAATATGGGAGGGAACGTAGGTGGGGGGTAGATGGTTTTGGACCAGCCATGGAATGGCAATGGAATGAAACGAATTTGGATTTCATTCTGCCCCCTCGGGTCCCCCACTTTGTGTCCTTTTTTTCTCCGTACACCCAGTTTTGTGTACGTTTTGCTGTCTACTTTGTGAAACGAGCCAGTTGAATAAAAACAAAAGCAACAATAAAAACAGAACAAAATGGATGGAAGAAAAAAGGAGAAAGACGAAAGCGCCAGAGATATGTTTTCTTTTATTCTTTCGATTTGGTTCCGTTTTGTATCTCCCACTTGGGCGGCTCTCTCGCCGCCTGTCTCTTTCACTTTTTTTTCTTCACTTTTTTCCACTCTCGGCGGCACAAAGAACCTAAAATTAAATATTTTCGCCTTTTACATATCGCAGCCAGTGGCAGAGCAAATCGTTTCTGTTATTGTTTTTGTTGCTCTATTCCCGTACACTCCGCCCCTGTTGTTGTCGTTGTTGTTATTGCTTGCTCTGTTTATTGGAGTGCATATGTACGGACGGACACACATACGCAGGCGTTTAGCTGGACATTCGCGATGCACAGTTGTGGTCAGAGAAGTAATGGTCGCCAAAAGTTGCCAGAATTGAGTTTTCCTTTTCCTTTTCTTCAATTAGTGCACACAAAGTTGCAATATTTTGTTTACATTTTGTAAGAAATTAGGTCAGTATGCATACTTACAAACGTTGTGAAAGAAAAACACCCTACGTTGTATTGTTTTGCACAAAAACTATTATAAATATTGTGAGGACTAAGTCCAAATGATTTAAAAAATATTTTAAATTAAAAAAATGGATATATTATTAATATTATTCACATATATCAAAAGTTTTATTTAAACATTTTTTTCAATGTGCTATACACTTATTTTCATTGAGAATAAATACTCAAATCAGGCTTTTTTTCTGTAGCTGGCCAAATGGTACAATATGTTTGTAGATTTAAATGTAAATATTTAGTCATTGAAACTTTTCTTATAAATAAATGTTTCAAAAGCCATCGCAATCTTGTAGTTGCTTTAATACTAAAGATTTTTGTTTGCCATTTTGTATAGGTTGATATTTAGTAATCCACAATTAATAAACTGAAACAACTGATAAATCTAGGCAACTGTAGATAAAGGACCTTGGTACATATTGCTGATTACTATTTTCTGTGCTACAGCTTTGACTGCAACTGTAGCTTTTTTTGTCAGCGCCAGCAAAAGCATTCCACTCAGTTTGGATTTGTTGATGCGTTTGCCCCGTCCCCGATTGCCCCTATCCTCTTTATATTCCTATATCTATACCATTCGATACCCATTTTCCATGGATGTCCCTGCCCATGACTGTGACACAAAGGCCTACATTCTGTCTCGCAGTAGAAACAGCGACACAAACAACACCAACAGCTAGCAAAGCTAATGAGCGCATTCAGTTAAAAATAACATTGAAAATGAAACATACCCAAATATACACGAATTGAAATGAATTGAATCGGATTGAAAATATTTCAAACAGCTGTTGCTCATCGTCGGCAGCGGACCACGAATAAAATTCTCAGCACCAAATTCGCGCAGAAAAAATACATAAAAATCTATTTGAAAATAAATACGCGTAACAAAAATTATCAAGGCGAGGGAAAAGAAAAAAAAATCAAATAGAAAAATAAACGAAAAAAAAAAACACGGAAAATCTGAATGAAAGAACTTTTTCGGACAACTTCCCTTGAGGCTGCTAATGTGCAAAGTTTTGTGTTTTCATCAGCAGCAACGCAAGCAAAAACGGAAAGAACAAGCAAAGAATTCACGGCAAATTATTTAAAAAGAGTGTGCAAATAGACGGGCGACGACATCGGGCCCTGGAGAATTAACGGCAATAACACGGGGGAAAAAAAATAAACCACCAGAGGAAATAGTACGGAAAAGTCGAGAAGACCGCAGCAAGCAGTTCTAGCAGCGAAGCAATGCCGTTTGTGACGCCCCGAGCGGGGACAAGTAGTGCAAGCAGTGCACCCGGCGGGCGCACCACATTCCGCCCGCCATGGGTGAAGGACGACGGCGGCACCACTGCCACCACCAGCTCCACAAAGCCCAGCACCACGCCCTGGGCGAAGAAAACAGCGACGACAACGGCAGCCACTCCGACGACTAAGGAAAATGGCGAGAAATCCACTGCGACCAAGCCAAAAGCTGCTGCAACCACCACTGCAGCGGCGAAGAAAAC